GGGGAGCCTGGTGCCTCAGAGGGTCTGGAGCTGCCCGCTTCCCCTGCCCCCCTGCAGGTCAACCCCCGGGTTTTGCCGGGTTTCCTGTGGGTGCTGGAGCCCCTAAAAAGATGACCCCTTCAGCCTTCAGCTGACCGAAGAAATCAAAAGACCCGCTCACTCTGCTCTTGATAATGAAATGGCAGCACAGCAGCAGCGTGAGGAGCGGGGCACAAAACCCGCGACACCGCCGGTCAAACAGGACGGGTATGGGTCAATGCTTCCCCCGAATGTGTGCTAGAGGGGAACAACAGAATTTACACTTCTTAGAGACCCACGTGAAATAGTCTGTGCTCGCTCGCTCACCGGAAGTGACGGTGACGCGCGCAGACACGTCATCGTCCAGTTAAAACATTGCATAAACCTTCTGTCCTTATCCCCCCTGCGGCTCGTGTGTATCGCTGATCGGGGCCTCCAACTCGAGTAAACACACTCGGCAAACACGCGGAGGGCGGGGCATCCTGCAGGGCGCGGGCGAGCGCGGGCGGCGGCGCAGAGGGAAGTCCCACGCCGTCTCGCTGACAAGCAGGCACACGGATGAGCTGTCCAGGGGACATTCCTCTGCGTGTTTGACGCGGACCTTCACGGCCGCGACGAGGCCCTCTGCTCCCGCACCTCGCGCTGCTGTAGCAGCCTCCTCGGCGCCGCCGACCTCCCGTGTCACACCCGCCGCGCGTGCCGGCGCGGCCAACATGCAGGTCCTGGTCCTGGCGCGGGGCGTGGCTGCGCCGGGGCTGGGCGCCTCTCCAGTCGCGAGGAAGTGGTGACCTTGGAGGCCAGCCCTTATCGAGGGCACATAGATTATTGTGTAACTAGGGGTGGTGGGGAGAGTTCAGCCCGACGACGGTCCTTCTCCATATCGTCTGTTTGCATTCTACGCTGGCGACGCATGGTGCGCAACCTTGGTTGCGGAGGTCACAGGAACTCCGATCCGTAAAGATGTGTTCGTCTGCCTTGCACGTTGCACAAAGCAACGCGCTTGGTTTGGAGGGGGGGGGGAGGGGGCGCCCTTGTCTATGGCGGCCAGGCGAGGGCGGGGCACGCCGTCGGCATTGGCCTCCCCGTGGTCCAGCCAGGCCCGCGGGTCGAGTGTCACGAGCTGGCGCTGACGGGGACATGCACGCCATACCCCGCAAGCCCAGGGTGTCCCGTCGGCCACCTCGCCAGTTCCCGCCCAGCGGCGCAGAGCAGGCTTGGAGGCCGGGGCCGGGTGGTGGATGTGGGTGGCGCGCGCGAGGCGACCGGTCTGGTTCCCACGAGGATTCGTCCCTCCAGGTAATAACGGACGGCGACGACACGCCGCGACGGCTCATTGTGTTTGTGCGGCCCTAGGCGCGACAGCCTAGAGTCCTCTAGGACTCTACGACAGCCGAGGAGCTCAGTGCGCCGCTGGAGATTCCCAGTTCGAAGGGCCGTCATCGTCATCGTGGCGGAGGATGAGCTGCAGCGCGGGGACGTAGAAGTCCTCCGGCAACCCCAGCTGGATGTACAAGTCCCTCTCGTCCACGACGCCGTTCTCATCCAGGGTCCTCGTCGGGTCCAGGCCCACCACGCCCTCCCCGTCCTCCGACACGCACGAGTACCGGTCCGCGGCCCCGCTGTTGAACACCTGGTAGCGCTGCAGCACGCGGCCCACCGAGTCCTCCGAGCACACCTGCAGGAGCAGCACGCTGCTGAATGTCTAGAAGTCGACCGCTTCCAAACGACGTCGACCGTTCCTGTGGGCTACCCACCGTAAGGCAAGTTTGCGTGCCGGAGAAGGTGTCGAGGATTCTTACGGGCCGAGCACGTTTGGTCAGCCAGCCCCGCACTCTAGAGGGCTCACGCCACCAGGACTTCCCTCCCTCTAAAGGTGCTAGCAGGGGGATCTCTTCGCCCGAAGACGGGTGGATGAAGGTGGCTACCTTGAAACGTGCATTGGATTGAAGGGCGTACGTATGCCGTGCGACTGGCATGGACATGAGAGCGTGCTTACATCCAGCGTATCTGGGTCGAAGTAGTGACTCATGTCCTTGCCAGCGAAAGCGACAAGGACGCGGGAGGCCAGCGTCCCCAGAGGGTCCGCCAAGTCACTGACGTCCAGCACACGACCAAGGACTGTCACCCACACGTCTCCCGGCACATTGTGCGTGATGACTTCCTCGGGGAGCATCCAAGTTAGAGGTCCACGCGGTCCACGGTGCGCCTCCATCGAAGCAAAGGACAGAAACAAAACAATGAACGGTAACTAAGGCAACCGACAGGCTGTCACGGCAGGACCAGCAGCAGGGCACCCCTTAGCGATAGTGGCGAGGGTAACCAACAGTAACCACGGTAACCAGCCAGGAGGCATCCCAGCCTAACTTCTTTAAACTACGCAATTTCTTATAGATAACAGATCCCGATCTCAAAAAAGTTACAGGCAAAGAGAGATACAGTGATACCGTAAAATAAACAAATGATTGAAAAAGGTTTAATTTAATTGGGTGGTAGGTTTTACTGACCTAACAAAACAGCATTATCATAGTACATACATCCAGGAGAGAAAAACAAGGAAGAATATTTGAGACTATAGCACTTCCCCCTCTACCCTCACACTGTTTAAAAAATGTATCACCGAAACAAGCTACCTAAATATCACCAAAACAACCTTCATATGAATTTTAAACATATTCATACAGGCATTTGACTTTGTGGCTTCAGATTTAACTAGTTTAAGCATGAAAAATTATTCATGATTACAAAGTAAAATTTAAAAATAACTAACTGGAATTACACTGCTTTGTATGTTTCTGTCAAGAATAATTTAAGTCCTTCAGTTTTAACAGTTAAAATTGAATCTCTACAGATAAAAAGAAAACAGAAGTACAGAGCTTGAAAAGAGGACAATTGACAATATCTCATAAATTGGGTTGATTTTGGTTGCATCATATTTATTGCTATATTTACATAACCAGTTTATAAACAAATCTACAGATTGAGGAGATATTTGGGATACATTAAGTGTCTGACATAATCTTCCTCAACTTCATGAGATTGCAAAATTAATTTCTATTATCAATCCAGTCAGTATACATGGTTCCAGACAAAAACAACTTGTGGGGTAAATTTGAATAACTGACAAGACATACATGCTAGGTATTACGATCGTGCAACAGAGTGGAGTCACAAAAGTCAAAGGTTCGTAAAACAAAAATTGTATGAAGAAACCCAACAGGAAAAGTAACTATAGGAGCACACATAAGGTCAATTGATACAATGCCACAAGTAATTTAGAACATGCTAAAAAATTGCTGATATAAGAGTGATTAACGCTTAATTCTTCATTTTAATCCAGCACCGCATCCATAAAAAAATGCAGGACAATGCTAATGGTAAAAGGTGCATAAATAAACCTGTCAACTTTAAGAGTTACAACAAATTTTAGAAACTGGCTGTAAAATAATTACATAAACATCCCAAAACTGTTCAAGCTCTAAGATTGGAAATATTCAAGCATGGAACCAGCCTTAGTCATCTCAGATTTCACAGCATCAAGCTTTAAATGGAAACATTGACAAAATTATCCAACAGAAACACTAGTGCCTTATCAATTAAGGAATACAGAAAGAAAAGGACAGGATCACAATCAACCAAATTCATTAATATGGGCACCAAGCCAATTACATTGGACTGGACACATCAGTAGAGAGATACTGAATTGGTTGATCTGGGTTTCTTGATCTTGTCAATGTTTTTAGTGACAATATCATGAAGTGTGCTGTAACGGTTGCGAACTTCACAGAGCACTAGCCAGAGACTCAGGTATTCTTTCTCATCCAATTCCTGCACGGAGCGGCGGTAGTCCTCAATGTGGGGGTATTTGGCCACCTTCAATAAGAAAGAAAAATTAAAAGGGCTGTTCAATGGTTTGATTAAACCTTTAAAATAGAGTTTAAACGAAGTATCTTACCTTGGATATTATTTTAGCTCGGGAAACATAGTAACGTGAGATCTGATCAAAGAAGGCAGCAGCTTCTGATTCTACTGACTGGATTTCAGCCAGGGTATCTTCTTGAATGGAAACTCCAAAATTGTTTCCATCTTCAATTTTGGGAATCATGAAAGATACCCACATTTTTAACTGTCACAGCAGCAAACACAGAATATTAGAACCATCATGGGATTAGGGCATACTACATGCCACATGACATACACAACAGATCTCACCAAATTAGAATCGGCAACTAATTCCTTGATGTGAGGCTTCACGACACCAATCAGTTCGGTAAGTGTAGAATTGCATGGAACTGGTCCTGAAGTCAACAACATGACTTTAGTTCCAACATCATTGGTTTCATTTTCACATTTCCTCTTCTTAGTTGCTGAACCATGATCGGAGTTACTGAAAATTTAGAAAGATAGAAGGGATGAAGAAGGAACAAAACTTTAAGAATTTAGGAAACTCAGTACCAAAAACTCAAAATAATTATTAAGTTAGATAGAATATTGTAGACAATCACAGCTAGTGCTTTACCTGTTGATTTGAACAGGATCAGGAGTGGGAATGTTTAGCTTTTGGTGAACAATGGAGAGATCCAAGTTTCCAAACATGGGCATCTCCAGAAGTTCATTTAATTTGACTATTTTCTCAGGGAATCCATTTAATATCAGTTCTTCAGCCTAGGGAAAGAACAAAATAAAATCAGTCAAGTTCACAAAACCAATGCAGGAGGTAATGCATTATTCCAACACACACCTTTGTTTTTAGGGTGTCTTTGTACTCCTGGACCTGAAACAAACGCCATCAAATAAATTGCAAGTTAGAGGTTCAAGGACTGCAATATGAGGGAACAAAAACAAGACAAAACAATTTTTTCAGTTTAATTATTATCTGTAGATCAATTGATAGTTTATTAACCTACATAGGACACTAAATGGCGGTCACCAGCCGGCAGCCAGCAGGAAGAAAATGTCAGTAACTGCGCAAATACTCATAGATATGCAGTGCCGTGACAAAAGAAAAAGGCATAATTTAAAATAGTTTTGAACTGATTTAAAATAGCTTTGAAATAAAAAGCTTGGCAAGTCATGGAACCAAAATTTCTTGCATTTTGATCTCTTTAATTCAGGGTAGTCACACTCACATGCAACTGATGGGATGAACAATAATCAAGATCCACAACTCATTAGTTACATGTGCTTCCACTTAAAAATCATAGTTAGCGGTGGAATAGCCCATTAACAAACCAAACTACAGGACTTGACTGTGGCAGTGACATGGTGACACATAGGTAAGTGAAAAATCAACGAAGAAACGAAGAGTTTCTTAGACTAACGGTGACCGTACGAAGGGGTGGAACGTATACTACACGAGACGAGTATAGGAACAGTGTTCGTGGGCGTGTAAGTAGTAGCGCGTGTCTACACATAATACCAGAGCAGCTTCTAACCTATCAAACATGGGCTTCATCCTGGAGTCCATGTCTATGGCCCCATGATGAAGTAGCAATGCACAAGTCAAATAATCAATGCGCAGAGGCAAAAACCACTCCAAAGGGTGACTGAAACTGAACGGCACTTACCTTTTGAGCTGCCGTTGTCATATTTCAAAAATTAACGTCAACCTCAGGTGCACTACAGGCTACGGGTGTAAATAAAACGAAACGTGCGACTTCTTGTAACAACGACCGGAAGTAAACTAATGCCGGGACCGGGCTGGAGGAATGAGAAAAGCTCCTTTCTGAAAGGCGGTGACAGCAGCAGCAACATAGCAACAACAACAACTTCGTCTCAACAACAAAAAGATCAACAAGCTCGGCACTGTTCAATCCAAATCAAATCGAACATTTTAGTTGTCACTGGTAAGCGCCGCTTTTCCCTGGTAGATCGTCTTTTCCCCATCCAGGTAACAAGATGCAAACCCTAAAAGTATCTAATTTGCTCGTATGGAACACTAGTTAACTTAGCCAAACCCAGGTGTGACAGACATGATCGTTCTTTGTGGGTTAAGTCGTTCATTTTGGTTCATTCACCTTAACACGTTTACCCAGTTTTTCTATAAATATCACAAAAGTAATTTCTGTTTGCTTGGGGAAAAAGAATAATTTTATATGTCCATATTTTTCCTAATTCTTGCATGTGCTTATGTTGTTATTTCTTGCTTTCTTTTTAATCAGGAAGTGATTCATCATGGCTACCGCTGATATAGAAAACCTGATCAAGAGTCAAGTCCTTGAAGTTGCTCGAAATGTGGAGCAACATCTTGATTCCGAACTTGATAAGTTGGAGAATATGGATGCTGATGATATTGATCGACTGAGGGGAGATCGTCTCAAGCAGCTTAAGGAACAAGCTAAAAAACGCCAAGAATGGCTTGTTATGGTAATTTTTTAATGGTCATAACAGCAGTTTACATCCATACATGTTTTATTCATAAACTATGTTTTTCAGGGCCATGGAGAATATACTGAGATTCACGAGGAAAAAGAGTTCTTTGAGATTTCTAAAAAGTCAAAAGACATAGTTTGCCACTTCTACAAAGATGGCTCCCCTCGGTGCAAAATTGTAGATCATCACCTCAAACTGCTGTGCAAGAAGCATGTTGAAACACGCTTTGTGCGATTGAATGTTGAAAAAGCTCCTTTCCTCACAGGTTTGTACTAATGAAGATTTCATTCTCAATTCTTTGGGACCTGTGAAACTATGAATAGATTACCTTATTTTACACTTTATCTGTACAGATCGCCTTCGTATCCGTGTTATTCCAACCATGGCTCTAATTAAAGATAGCAAGACTAAAGATTTTATTGTTGGCTTCACTGATCTGGGGAACTGTGATGATTTCTCGACTGAAATGTTAGAATGGAGATTAGGCACTGCAGGAGTTATTAATTACAGTGGTGACCTATTGAACCCACCTGAAAAGAAGAAGAAGCCTAAGACCCTCCTGGGAGCACCTAAAAGAAGCATTCGAGGAAGAGATTCGGATTCTGACATTGATGATGAGGAGGACCTTTAAGAGTTTTGTTACCTTGTCAGGATAACACATTGTATTAATTCGAGTGGAAGATTCAATTCTATTAAATTATTGAAGTGTTTAGTATTAGGAGGATGATATTTTGTCTGTATGAGAGGCACATGGCTTTTGGTCTGTGATGTCAATTTGGACTTGCTTTAAAATTTAATGTTACAGAAGTGAACTTGTAGTTTAATTTCCAAATACTTTTGACACTCCTGAAATTTGTGCCTTGTTATACTGATGCTAGATCACTACCTAGATTGATTAGTTGAATGTTTGTTTCACCTTTTAAAGCTGTATGTCATTCCACCTTTGTTATTAACTATTAACACTGCATTCATTTACAAATAATCATGACCACTCTTTAAATTTGCTTGTGATCTCTTTATTTTCTGTAACATGCATGCTTTTTTATATGCCCTTCTTATTGGATATTGTGTATAGGTATTATAATAATTGGTGTAGAATTATATTTATTATACATTTGTTTTGACAATGAGGTAATACTTTTATTGTTCTGCAACAGTATCAATAACTTACTCATGCCTTCTGGCATTAAAAATCAATTTCAATAAATAATCTATGACATCTAAAGTATTCTTAATTTCTAATCTATTATCAAGAGCATCTACATGAGCAATACTGTATCTTAAGAGTATCATTTCTTAAGGCTTCAGTTTAACTTCAAATATTTTGTAGATCAATGTCTTGATTGTAATAACATTTTGTTCTATTGACATCTCAGTGAGTGCGCATAACACCATCTCAAATTTCAGGCAAACACCTTATCTTGTGAGCCATCTCTAAGTTCATGTGCATTTTTATCACAGTTGTATGAAAATTCAATACTTTCCATTTCTATACTTACTTTTTTTGGAAAGATGGGAACATAGTAGTAATGCTACACCTACCATCCACATTGCATTCTTTAAATTCCTTGAATTTTGCAACAATTCCAATGGTGTGGTCAGTAGTGCTGCATCTCTATCATTTCATAAACTCTTAAACTGTGCAGTATGCCATCATAGGTGGGGGCCCACTTTGCTTTTGAAGCAACAATACATTTTCTGCACATGGAACATGTCCTTGATGGTGAACTACATATAACATGTAATCTCCTATCAAGTTCTGGCATGAACCTCTGTTTCAGATTTATGAAATAAAATTAATTGCATGGACAATGATGGCGTAGCCCAGACTCTCAAATATTTGTAATCAGTTACTGCACAGTTTGTGGTTTCCTGTTTGAAACACCATTTACTGGCAGGACTGGTAGGGTGTTCTTATAACTGGATGGTTCTGACTTTTTGTCTGCTACAGAATCTTGGTTTCTTGAGGGTCTCCTTGCATATGCTTTTCGGTAGAAATCAGCAAACAGGAAGAGGAAGATGACAACATTACCCACAAAGAAGAATGTCAGAGCTTTGGGAAGCCTGCAGTCGAAGAGCAGCAATGTGCCCAAGTACATCAGCATAATGCAGAACTGTGCCTAAAATCCGGGACCAAAGGCATTAGCTTCTTTTTCTAAACACTTAAATCTGGGAGGATGAATTGGACTTACCAGTTGAATTTTGGTGACATATTTCTTCCACCACAAATACTTCTGGTACTTTGGCCCTAGGGCGGCAATAAGGTAGTAGGAATACAATACTACATGGACAATTGAGTTAAGGAACCCAATGACCACTCCTTGTTCACCTGGTAGGTACTTAAGGTAGCACCATGAAAAGAAGCAGGTGATGGTGTGATGGTAGACGTTCAGGAAGGAAACTTGGTTTTGCTTCTTTCGAAGCACAAAAAATACCTGTTTTCAGTAAAACATCATTAATTAAGGGTCGTTCCTTCTTAGTTTTTAAATATAACAAGTTTTCTGGGATATTGTAACTTCTTACCGTATCAAGCAACTCAATCACTTTTGAAAAAAAGTACCACCATGCGCCATTAGAAACCTGCAGTAAAGTCACAAATAGGACAAGCCTTAATAAGAGGAAAAGGGTAAGATATATTATTTATTTCAACGAATAGTTGATACTGTTGGACTGACCGCGATGGTGAACGGATTGTGCTGGTTCTGCGGAGGGTGGCATCCGTGTTTCAGGAGGTACGGGATGGCGTTTACTCTCAGGGGCTGCAGGTCGTCGGCAGAGGGAGAAAAAACGATCAGCCTCTCTCTGGCAGGGAAGTCCCCAGCCACACAGTGCGTTCAACTCACCATGGTGCAGAGCCACAGGCTAAAGAGGACCTGGTAGCCGTTGTACAGGATGAGGATAGGCTGCAGGTTGTACGGCTTCCTCGAGGCCATGAAGGCCGGGCCCGCCTTGAGGACGAACCACAGGTAGACGGCGAGGATGGAGAGGATGGGCAGGGGCGAGCCCATGAGGAACCACGAGTCCACCATGGGATCTGGAAGCAGAGGAGGACGGAGGGGGCGGGGTGAGCGACACCGCGGATAGGCCCTGGGGGCCGCACATCGCGCTCCGAGCCCCGAGGGTTCGAGTCCCGCTATCGTCCACGGCGCATCCCCCCGGGGCAGCAGCGCCGGGTCGGGCCTCGGCGGCCCCAATCACGGGGACAGCGCCGTCATGAGGCTGCCGAGGCGGCTGCCGAGGCGGCTGCGCTGGGGGGCTCTTTAGCCAGAGGCAGCCAGAGGCACATGGCTCCCGGTCCGGTCCTCTGGTCCGGCCGGCTCCCCGCGGTACCTTGGCCCGGCGCGTATACAATGGCCACAATGCCTCTGTGCCGCCGGCCAGAAACCGTTCCACTGTCACCATGACTTGCTTGTTCGGGCTGCGCACCCAAGTAACAGAGATTAGTCAGGAATACATCAAAACTTGACGAAATATTGACCTCTTTTTCGTCAAACAGATCACAGCATCTGACAATATGACTTAAAAATTACGACTTAGAGATCAAAACGTACTAGTGACGTTATAGTGACTGCCTTGCACGATGAGAGAAACTGTCATTGTTTACGTCAACATCAGTTCAGTTGACCACAAGGTGGCGGGTTCGCATTCCACCTAGAGCTGGCACATCGTGGCAATTTGTCTGGTGACATGGATGGAGTAGAGGGATCCAGGATGACGCAGAGAACTCTGCCTCGTGGCTAGGAATAATATTTTTTTTTTAAAAAAAAAATCAGAACCATCACCGTCACTATAACGTTATTTTGACATTTAAAAATTGTCATTTTTTAACGATAAAATACGTCATGGTGATTTAAAATTTGTGACTACGATTTAACATCATATTGACGCATTACTGACTCATCTCTGTTACTTGAGCAACGGCACCTGCTGTGCAAGGTACTTCCCTGTCGCGCGACATCTCGTCTCGATGTCTACGCGCCGTTCAAGCGTCGCTTCTCGTCCCGTCCCTCACTATAGGGAGGGGCCCACGTGCACTCATCACACTGCTGCTTTAAGTGCGCGAGGACAACTTACCGACTTTCGTCTCCTGCACAATATCATGGTAGTTGCGCACCACTGTCTGCACGATGCCCGACATGTTGTACGGCGGAGAGAACCTGGAACACACCAAGAGGGCGGAGGCGATGAGAAAATAGTTCGACCAAGGTAGCAAAATGAAGCAAACTGCATTCGAACCGCATTATATGTCCCACCTGAAACGCGCATTTTAGGCGCATATTTAGGCCCCTACACGCGTTTTAGGCGCTTTTTAGATTGGACACAAAATGTACATTTTATGCAGCTCTGCTACATGGGCGATCACTCAACATTATACCAGGTGGCTCATTAACCCCGCGCACTTCTGTAGTTAGGCTGCGCGGCACGCACGAGTGCGGGCGGGTTGCCTACTCGCCCGGCTCGCAAGGCGCCGTGGACAGGGGCGATAGGCAAGCCCGCCCGCACTCTTGCGTGCGGTACAGGCTAACTACAGCAGTGCGCCGGGTTAATCAGCCACCTGGTATCCCGAACACCGCCTCGGATCGGCAAATCCGGAAGGAGGAGACGCTGGCGCCGATGCCGACGTCACACTTCGGTGCACCGTGGCCGGCAAACGCCCCGACCCCGATGCAGTCCGTCATCATCCCCACTACTAAATTTCCCCCTGCGCCCCGCAGCAGGCAGCGCAGCTTGCGGGCCGCGGCTGCCCAGTCCCAAGCCTTTAGCGGCACCGCGGCCAACGAAACCGTAAGTACGAAATGAGCCTGTGACGCGACGGTAGTGCTCGCCGCGGTAGTGTCCGCGGCGGTTACTCTTAATCCGATTCAAATCTGCCGCCGCGCACCGGTGGCGGCCGAGGAGAGGGAGGCTGCCGCCACTGTCACCGGGACGCGACCACCCCGCCGACGCCATGATGGTCTCCGTTGTGTCGCCGTGGCGAGTCTGCGAGTCACGCTGCTATAGAGCCCCGCGACGCGTCGTTGCCCTGACAACCGGACGCCGCGCCGCCGCGCCGCCGCGCCGCCCAGTCTTGGCGGTCTTGGCTTCGGGGATCGGGGCGTCGAGAGGGAAGTCCCAATACAATGATCAACCACCCAACCCCCATGACCATCCAACCAAATGACAACCCCCACCCTCTCTCTTTTGTGGTTTTGAAGTCGCTAGGTTCATGTTGAGCGTTCGTTTCATTTCGGTGGTTACAAAACGCCGCCTCAGGTGACACTGCCGCGGGGCGCGGTCGGCGCGGTCAGCGGAAGGCACCGAGCCGCCGCCGCCGCCGCCGCCGCCGCCTAGCTGACCGTCGCTGACGCGGCGCGCACGCAGTGTTTTCAGCTGACCAAAAAAAACTGCAGCGCGGCTCGTGACGATGCGACACCTGACACGACGGCCCGACTGTAAAGCGCTGCCGGCGCCCGCGCTCCAGCCTGTGTGTGTGTGTGTGTGTGTGTGTGCGTGTCGGGAGAGGCTCTGCAGCCGGAGGCAGGACTCGAAGGGCCCGGGTACACGGTGAGAGGAGGAGAGAGTGTGGGGTGGGGCTGGGGGCTGGGGCAGCGGAGCGGGCAGCAGCCGGCGGCAGCCAGCGTGCCTTGTCATATACGTACTGCCGGTGCCGTTCGTCCCCCGCCCGGGCCCGGACCCGGACGGGACGGTGCGACCGCGCGCCCTCGCCTTCGCCTCGGCCCTCGCGCCCGTTAAAGCCCGTAATGAACTTCCCTTCCCTTCACTTTCCCGGCGCTTCGTCGTCGTCGTCGTCGTCTCCGCGGCCCCACAATTCCGATCGTTAGCGGCCCCATTCCGCCCCGAAAATGAGCGCACGAGGCGCAAGTCGTTTCAATTGGCAATTCTGCGGAGCCTAAGTGACTTTTTTTCCCTCGGCAGGTCCATGCAGCGCTGATGGGAGTAGGAGTTGGGGGGGGGGGGGGGGAAAGAGGAATTCTCGCTCGCGTTGCATTCAAGTTCATTGACACGCAGCCTGACCGCGAAGCGAAGGGTCTTTACTGTGGCGCGGCTGTAGAGCGGCGAGTTGTTATGTTTCCATCGGCGATTGACCTGTTCAGGAGTCAGGAGCGATGCAGAAAGGGTCACGTAGACTCATCCTCTCGGTTATCCCATATTTTGGTTGTTAACCGTGGATTCTTTGTACTTCTACGGCTAACTCTCCTAACTCGCACACCGTGTCCGTTGGGGGAATGCCCACGGAAAAAAGATTAGTCGTGAGAACTACCTTATTAGTTAGTTTTCGGAAAACACAAACCAAAATTAGCTATTGCAATTAAAAATTAGTTCTCAGAGCTAAGAGTCACTTGACAGAGCGAAGACGTAGCTGCAGGAGCCAATCCGTTTGATCTGAATATTCACCAGTGACCAGAGTGTCCACACGAAAGGATTGGCTCCTGCGTATCGACAGATTCGCTGCTGGCAACTAAACCTTCGGCAACTTAGAAGGTCCTGAGAAACTAACTAATCCAACCCAATTTCGATTCGTTGTTCCAAAACTAACTAATCTGGTTGTCCTGACGACTAATCTTTTTTTCCCGCGCTTCGATCTGAAAGGATTTGTTTACCCAGGATTTACATTCTTCTGCCTGCATGCGTGCAGGCGTGCATGGAGGGGAGCTGGGCAGCATCAGCAGCAGGCCCGCGTGCTTTCAGTACCGAGACGTTTACGGCGTCGACGTCGACATCGTCAAGCCCTTCACGGTACGGTGGGCGCGATAGCGCTTACCTCGAGGTCCGCGGTGAGCTAGTCCCAGTGAAAGTCCGCAGAGGACTCCGCGAATGTGGGCGGTCTCCTTTCCTGGGCGCCGGTGGCTCTGGGGTGAGCGCCGGTCGTCGTCAGCGGCGTGGCACACTGGGTTGTGAACAGCGAGCGATGTGTTGGGTCGACACCGCCGTGCGCCTGATGTCCACGTCGGCAGATCACCGCCGCTGTGTCGGAGTGCTCGACGAGGTGCCGAACCGAAGCCGAGCCGGCCTTCTTCGGGTAGGTGATGAGCTGCACTGAGACGGAGAGCTGCGGCACGCGGCCGTGGCCGTGGCGAACGGTCGCGCGCCGGGCTGGGCGGGGCGGGCCGGTCCAGCCCAGCATCCCCAGCTCCACGCCGTATCTGTCAAGTGCAGAGGGCGGCTGCGCGCGGCGCGGGCGGGGCA